ATTATTATAAAGCTAAAAATTCTAATATAAAAAAAAAAAAAATAAAATTATAAAAAACCTAAAAAAAAGCTTTTAAAAAAATAAAGCTAAAATATAACTTTAAAAAAACTATTATATTAATTATAAAAAAGCTTAATAAAGCTAATAATATTAAAAGTAAAACTATTAAATAAATTTATATTAATAGTTTTACCTTTTTTAAAGGGATAATATTAATCAATTAAAGGGGTTACTTAATTAATATCGATCAATTAGGACCTATAATCGATTTAAATCGATCGACAAGAGCTCAGAATCGATCTATACGATCGATTTCTAAGCCTAGGTTAGCGTATACATGCCGTGGTCCAAGGTAGGGCTTACGCATATAAACTTCTTCTGCACGGTTTGGGCCGGGCTTTCCGACACGCGTCGGCTCATTATTGATGTTCTGAGTCGTGCATGCAGAACTCCGACGGAGGAACTCGACGTCCTAAGGCTTGACAAAAATGAATTTCTAGGGGCTTCCGTCGGAGTTTGATAATCTCGATTCGCCCCTGCCCCACTTACCCGATGCAGCCATAATGCGGCATAAACAGGTGAGATGGCCAGGTACATCGTGGTCACCAGTGAGAACACGGTACAAGCCATTTGCGCGCCACAGAATGGTCCGTGCCCATAGTAACAACAGTATTGACAAATACGGAGGAAAGGAAACGGCTTTATTGGTGTTCTGGATTCCTGCCTCGGAAAGAACAAAAAAAAAAAAAAAAAGAGCCCCAGCAGGCGGCCAAGCGAGAAGCAAAAGAAAGGCGACCAGGGAAGGGGTTACGCGTGAAAAACGATTCCCCACAATGCAGTTTACTACTCTACCACGTTGGAACCTCGAAACGACGAAACTCACCGCTGAGAGGAGTTTGCCGGATAAGGTAGGCAAACATTCAAAAAGAGTAGATCAGAGTGCGTAAATACCCCCCAATCTCCCAACTGGGTCCAACCCACTGAGATCTCGCTCCCCATGCTTGGCGACCGACCAAAGCCTGTGGTGTCTGGTATCTACACATGTAGGTCCCACTTGACCCCATTGAGCAAGCCCTCCCAAGTTACTAGATCTCGAAGCCCAAAATGTCGAGTAACATAGCCACATTAAGGGTATTATTTCTATTCGCAATCTCTATCCAAATCGATTATAACCATATTAATAGTTGCATCTTTATTATTTCTGGTCCTGTCCACGCCTGCCTCATCATAATTTACGTCGTATTGTGGCCGACTAGTTATGCACTTGTGCACCGATATTACAGCACTACTTTTTGGAACTCGAAACTGAGCTCGGCGCAACGACGGCCCTAATTTTTCGAACTCAAATCTTATTTATGGCGGTGTACAGGTATCACATCAAGAAAGCAGCAATGCAATCATAATGGTGGGTGCAAAGCGGAACTTGCCACGCTTTGCAGGGCATGTGAAAGGGGATACAATCGCAAAATCAGCCCTGCCCAGCTTAGTGGTTTGAATAAGTGGTGCGGAGTTTCAAGGCATAGTTGACGCGTCCATTTGCCATGCAAGGGATCCGGCTTAACTTACTTTGGGTGTTGATTCAATGGCAGTGGCAACGGCCACGCCGGATGGCTTTGAAATCGGTGGGATCCTGTGACAAGGGTTCAACACAGAAGGCTTGGAGCAAAAGGGCTCAATTCAATAATAATCTCGAAGGGTCTCTAAGGTCTTGAGTTGCTACGAGAGAGGAAGAGAAGGGTGACCGTCTTATATACATAAAAGGAACGCCCAGGCCTAGGGTCCTTGCCCGGGCACATGTTCTAGCTGTGTAACCAACAAGTCCTGTATCGGCGAAGCCCCTTTGTTGGGCTTCACGATCTGTTGGGCCTTTTCCGTGTAACAGATCCAACCACCCGAAACTGCTAAGTTGGTGAAGCTCGTACATTTACCGGCGCTATTTGTCGTTGTTTCTACGTCATGAACGATGTGCGGTACCAGCACTAGGTCTCCGAGCTCTGTCGCATATACAGTAGAGTTGCCGCTTGATAAAGCGGCCAACTCATTTCGAATCAACTTGGGGACTCTCGCCGCCAAGATGCAATGGGAAGTGTCCTGGATGAACTCCTCCGCACCGCCAGGATAAAATTGCCCAGCCGATCGATCTCCTCTAGTAGAGGAATTTATGTCATTTATCTTCGATAGAACAGGTGGCTGGCGATCCTTTTAAACTTCTGACATGTATGATTTGTGACATTTTGTGACGGGCTACGCCGGAGGCTTTGGACCCGGCTCTGCCAGGTCCATGCGTTCCATGTAATTTCAAAGCAAGCTCGCGGGAGCGAGCTGCCTTCCCCTTTCTTTCCACCTCAGCTTTAGATAGACAATTGTATGGCACCCATATGTTGAACAAACACTGGCTTACCCTCTCACACTAGAGCTCTCCAACCTACAGCCGCGGATGCTGATAGCCACCGTGATGGAACTGTCACGTTATGAGATTCATTGGTAACTAAGCAGCTTTCAGTACTGTCACATCAGCGTTTCAACACCATATTGTAAGATTGTCGTATCAACTTTGCAACGATTATCGTCGTGTTATGGTGGCATTATGTCGATCTCTGTTGACTCATTAGTCGAAAGTCAGCTAAAATTGACAACACTTGGCGTTTGAGAGCCAGCCCGGGCTCATAACCTGTCAAAATGATACAGATTATGGAGAGTCAATTAGCCTTGTCTGTTAATCGATGGCCGGACTGCCGATGCTCACTCAGCAATATAAAGCAAGAGTATCCCCATTAGAATCTTTTTCACGGAACGCAAATCTTGACGAACAGCAACAAGTCTATGCGAAAGATATACGAGATGAGCAATAACAGCTTTACACCCCTTCAAATGGCGGGCATGCCGCTACTCCAACGCCGTTTGCTGGTAGCCGCTCTTAATATTGGTACAATAGTCTACCTTTTGTGGACTACATTCACCATGTTCAGACCAGGCGGCATCACCTTGCTGGAGGCTTTCATCTTGTTCTGCGCCTCCATCTCTACTCCTCCCCATGTCATATACTTCTGGAACTGCATCATCGGTTTATGCGTTAATACCTTTGGCAACCCAGAAAAGTCCATCTACCCCTACTTTGACGCCAAAGGTCCCCTCCCAGAAATTACCTCCCAAACAGCCCTCGTTATCTGCATGTGTAATGAAGACCCGGCCCCGATCCTCAGCCGCCTCCACGCTATGCGTGAAAGCCTGCTCCAAACCGGGCGCCTTCAGTACTTTCGCTTCATCATTCTCAGCGACACCAGCCGTCCGGATGTAATGGGGATGGAAGATAAAGGGTTCGCCGACCTTGCAAAAAGCCTCGGCATGGGCATGTCGCGAGCGCCCCTATACCGGCGCCGCATCAAGAATACGGGCTACAAAGCCGGGAACATCAAGGACTATGTCGATAACCACTCGGAAGGCGACGACTTGTTCGTTACGCTCGACTCGGACAGCGCCATGGGTGGAGACGTGCTGGTTCGTCTGGTCTCCAGCATGGAGAAACATCCGCAAATTGGCTTGCTGCAAACCCAATTCGCCGGCATGCCAGCCGTCAGCACCTTTACCCGTCTCTGGCAGTTTGGCCTGCGCTACAGCGTGCCTGTCCAAAACGTGGGGAGCAACTGGTGGGTCAACGACTGTGCGTTTTACTGGGGCCACAACGCCATTATCCGCACCAGGGCCTTCCACAAGCACTGCATGCTCCCCGTTCTTCCTGGAAAGCCGCCGTTGGGTGGACACATCCTCAGCCACGACGTCATGGAAGGCATGTTCATGCGCCGCGCTGGGTATGAAGTCCGCATGATCCCCTTGGAAACTGAAAGCTACGAGACCAACCCGCCGACCCTTCTCGATTTCTTGCGCCGTGAACACCGATGGTGTCAGGGCACCATGCAGTACTGGTTCTTGCTAAAGGAGCCTGGCCTCAAGTCTGTCAGCCGCTTCCAAGTGTGCCAAATCCTCGCCTCATATCTCGGCCCGGCTTTCGGGGTTCTGTGGATCTTAGCCGGCATCGCCAATGGCATGTTGGGTGGATATGAGGCCACCCAATTCGAGTACAGATTCGTGGCACACCTGATTATGATTGGCATCTGGCTAATACCTAAAATCGCCTGCATTTGTACCTCCTTTGATCGCTACGGTAGCGGCTTCCGCTATGCCGTCTCCCTCTTGCTAGAAATTATCCTAATGCAGCTTATCTGGCACGTCATCAGCGTAGCCATCACAGTCTTCTTCTTCAGCCTCGTCAGCGGCAAGTCCATTAGCTGGGACGGCCAGAACCGCGACCGGCTTGGCCTCAGCTGGCGAGAAAGCTTCCGTGTCCTTTGGCCGCAAACTCTCGTCGGCTTTAGCATTGCCGGCCTGCTCGCCCTTGAGGATAACATCACATGGCTATGGGCACTCCCTTTCGTTACTGGCCTCTGTCTGGCCACGCCATTTGCTGTTATCACTGCATCGCCGCGTCTCAGCCAGATTATCACCCGCCTGCGTCTCTTTCTGGCTCCAGAAGAGGCCAAACTTCCGCCGCTCTTGTCTGTGCTAGTCGCACCGGAAATTATTTACGCCTTCAAGGCCGCGGCCACTCGAAGACTTGGATCAAAAGCTATACTCGAGAATTGAGACTAGATCTAACTACCAAAACAGGGTTAAAACTTTTTATTATTATACTAAAATACTTTTATAGCTTATATAAATTAAACTCTAAACTTTTTTTAATTCTAGATTTATATATTATATTATATCTAGTTGTTATAGTCTCAGGCTAGAGCCTAGACCTAGCGATGGTAGTAAACCTGTATAGTGTTAGATTGAACAGTCACAAGGGACTTGTTCAATACGTACCCTTTTGGCTCTATAGTCAACTTACAGGGCTCCGGGTAACCCCCGGGACGGCTGCGGCTAGCACCGGCGATGGCCCAATCGGGCTAGTCTGTTACACTAGTACTTAAAATTATTATTAGAATTTTATAGTTAAAACTCTTATTTTAATAGTTAATTAAATTATACTTAAACTAATACTAATAAATTTAGTATTAACCTTGATTAAATTATATATTATTAGATTTATTTTAATTTAAGGGTTAATAAGTATTT